CAATCTGTAGGTAAAGTAATTAAATAGAGTAGTAAATCAATCTCCCAAACAATATGCCAAACGAACTTTCAGTGGTATCCATCCAATAGTCAGTATGAACAAAGGGACAGTGTTGAGACAAAAGTCACAGTAGAAGCAGCCTGGTGGGTCATAAAGCAAAGAAAGTTTCTTAATAACTATTTATGAAAAGAATACCTCATTCTCATAAAATAACAGCTACCTTAGATTCCTGTATGCCCACCTCCCCATCTTGAGTGACATACACTTTTTAAATTTCAAAGAACTTCCTAAAACCTTCAAGCAAGCTAGTTTCTTCTCTTTTTTCCTCGTTTTCTTTACTCTAGTTGCCTAACTCACAAATATAATTACTGATCACCACATACTGATAAAGGCAGAAACAATATTTGATCATAAATCTTTATCGAAATATACGTTTTTCCAGACGTGTTTACGTCTCTAAAAATTATTTAACAAAATTCATCCAAAACCAAATTTTGCTTGTATTTAACAATGGCCCAAAGAGAATTAAATAAGCAACAAGGAAAAATGCCAGTGAGAAAAAAATTGTACCCTTTTATTACTATTATCTAAAAAAAATAGATTTTAGTCCAATAGGAGATCTTATTTCCTTCCATTTTAACAAAACCATCTGACATTTACCCTATGTAATCTTTTTTGTTCTTCTATCTCACTGTTTTAATATGGTATAGTGTGACACTTTTATCATGAGTACTGATTTATTTTTAATCACAGACAACACAAAGAATTTATAGTGGAATAGTATTTTAAAAGCTCTGTTTCTGGTGGCTAGAAACCATATTAATTATTTATTTGATGGAGGTACCTCAAAAATAATGCTGGCCAATGATTTCAGGAAGAAATCTAGTAGTCCTGCAAATAGGATTTTCTCTCAACTGTCGGAACACAGCTTAACTGTGGATATATATTATGTGTATATGTACACACACACTCAATATATGTGTATAGATGCAAATTATATGCATTTATGTGTTATCTGAGAATCTTCAACTAGCTTTTGATCATACAAATTATATTTTCTGTGTCAGCCAGGAAGGTGGGTGGGAAAAACAGAGAGAGAACTCCATATTTACTGAAATTGTTAAAATAACATGTAGTAAATGTATAACACATCATTCATTGGTTCTCACTTCTTCACAATAAATACTGCTGCTGGTATGGCCACTAGAGTCATGTTGTTTCTCCTCTAAAATCCAAAGTTTTAATTGATAGTTGATTCTTTTTCATTTTCTTTATCTTTGTTCACTGTATACTTATTCCCTGAATGCCAAACATATCAGTATAACCCTAAGGTTATGAGAATGGGCTTTGGATATCCAAGTTCTCTTCCCAGTTCTACCTCTCACTAGCTGTGTGGCTTGAACAATTTATGGAACCTCCCGAGACACAGTTTCCTCTTCTGTAAATTAGAGACAACAAAATAATTACGCATTGAGTTTTTGTAGGCATTAAGTGAGAATATACTTAAATAATTTAGCACAAGGCCTGATGTAGCTGTGCTGGAACATGTTAGTTACAGAAACACTGTATAATATTCAAGCCACTCTCTTCATTTATCAAACAAAAATATGTTTTTTTCTACTCCCTTCAATAATAAAACATATATATCTTAAACATATATTCTGTCAAAATGGGAAACTGTTTTCCTCACCACTACTCAAAAGTAAATTTTGACCCACTTTCTGCTGTTATTCTGATATCAACACTCATGGTGAAGTAGTTCCATCTCAGTTAATTCTGTTGAAGTCTCTCTATCCCTTTCCTCTACCTACTCCTTTCTCAGGTTATTCAATAGAATATGTTTCTTATACCTTCTCTTTACATCTCTCTCTTAAATTTCTTTGCAACCTGATAGATATCATATCAACAATACCAAATCTAGAGCTAAAACTTCCCCAAACCAAAGTCACAGACTTCATGGAGGCATATATATATCACATGGAGCCATATGAATAATGGAGGCATATATATTAATAATAAAGAATCAGTGCTATCCATCTCTAGATGCTTAAAAATTACAAGAACATTTCTCTAAATTCTCCATGAGTCTTCTTCCCTGCAAGAATTCCAACTTCACCTTCTTCTAGTAAGACCTTCTTTCCACAAATAAAAACACTTTACTTACTATATATAAATATATTTTCTATCTTATTTATTCACATCAAACATTGCTGTTGTCTGCATTTTTAAATTGCAAATACACAGTATTTCAGGCCTGAAATAAGAAGTTTATATGAGTAATTAAGTTCTATCCAAGAAAATTTACTGTTTCTCATATGTTTAAAGTCTCAGCTATGACCAAAGCCTGCCGCATAGTAGATATTCAGTAGCGTTTCATTGAACTATACTGGAGTGTATTGAGCAGTATGTGTGTGTATGTTATAGTGGTACAGATACAGTAATCATGTCTCCAGTACAGCAAGCATGCCACTTTGCCAAACCATTGTAAAGTTTGCAAAACAGAAATATATC